CCCTGGTTGATATATAAAAATTGTACTTACCGTTTGTTTTGTGAAGGTTAAAGTGTGACATATAGTGTTAGATGCCAAAGAATAAGATCATTAACTGTAGAGATCTCTATGTAACGTGGCATTTGTGTGATAGTTTGGTATTGCTTTCTATTTCACTAATCTGAGGGTTCACTGGCATTTTAAGTCAAATATGCTCTTTACTATTTCTTTTTCTTTTTTTTTTTTTTTTTTGTACTGGGGATTGAATTTACAACCTCACGCTTGCCAGGCAGGCACTTGTGCCAGAGCTGAACCTCTGGCCCCTCTTTCAGAATTTTTATAATGACTTATAGACATTAAAATGTCCTCTAAATATTCCCCACTCTGTTGACGTATACTACCAAATAAATTTTCCAATCATTCTCTTCCAACTTGCTTATAGTTTAAATCACTAAAAAACCCCTGAATATCATGCTTTTTTAGTTTTTATCTTTTCCTTTTAGCACTAGATCATAATGAAAACATGTTTTATTGGTGCTTATTTTGTTTGGTTCCTTTGTATGTGTTCATGAATTATGGCTAGAGTCTTTGATTTCTAAATGTTCATTAAACTTGAATAACTGGTAATGCATGAGTGCTTTAGCACTGTACCAAACAGCTTACAGGAACTCGGCCATGTGCATTTTGATCACTGGAAGAGTTAGTAATGTAAGCCATGGGGCAGAACTACAGATCAAAGTTCCCTCCAGAACAATTCTTGGAATTCAGCATTGGAGGAGAGAATGGCATTTAGCAGGGATGACGCAAATCCCAAGGCTAGGTCCTAGTGTATCTCTGAGACCTTTGCTACTTTCCCTTCACTGGCTTTTACTTGATACCTAACTTGAAACTGAAAACTGAAAATAATTGGAAGAGCGCTTATGTAAATGTTAGTTTGCATCACAGTTCTGGTCCTGGGAAAATTCCAAATCATAAATGTAGACTTTGACCATGAAAATCCTAAAGGTCCTTGGGGCAGTGAATTCTGTTCTTTAGCAGTTGGGAACATTTGTGGTCATCTTATGAGAAGACCCATAGGGTCCTGAGCCCACTTTAGAGATATTTCTCCATTATATATCCTGATAAATAACAGGCAAACCCCAGGCACAATTTAAATTTCATATTGATTCGGGAGATGTGCCAGTCTGTGCTTCTAAACTCCCCCGGCTATGAGCTGGGCTGAGATTCCTGGTTTACAATTATTTTCAGTCCCTGATGCTGAAGCTTCAAAGGAACTAAACTTGCCTTAAGGAGATGGGCCGGGTACATGCAGGACTGGACATTCATTTACTAGCCATTTACTAACATCTGCTGAGTATTCAGTTCTGCTGGGTATTCAGTTAGGATGAACACCCCAAACCTCCTGTCCTTGAGTGCTAAGCAATTCCAAAGAACCAAATTTTAAACTGAGTTCTTTGTAATTTATGGGTCCAAGGAAACACCCCAGAAACACTGCAATGATTAGTATCATTTTAGAATTATAACTAGAACACAATAAATGTTAGATTTGTGGGCTTTCAGCCCAAGTAAAGAACTTCTTTTATTTGTCTTATGTAGTCGGTATATATTTACACACTGATCTTTTGAGTAAGATTTTATTTGAAAAAAGGGCTTGTGGGTAAATAAAGTTTGAAGCGTCAAGCACCTTTTATTTTACAATCTTACTAAATAGTCAGATAAACATTGCATCAAGACCATGTAAAACACAAAGCCATGCATTTGATTCAGCGGCTCTCTATAAAGAATACATGAAATTTAACAAATACGTGGTCTTAACTGCATTTGGAATGGCCCGACTTTTATACAAATGGGAAAAAGAATTATAGCCCCAGCATAACAAGACTTCATACATGTCAAGCATCTACTAGTTTTTATGGATATTATAAGGCTAATGTTTATTGAATGCCAGGTACTATTTTAAGCCATATTAGGTATTTTGTCTCATTTTATCTTTAAAAACTATCATAATGGTTTAAAACTTAGTTAAAAGTTAGTAAACTTAGTAAAAACTTTTAAAACTTAGTAAACTTAGTAAAAAGTTAAAACTTAGTAAAAAGATTGTTTCTGACAGTAATGTAAAATGAACATTTGATCAAGAAGTTCAGACTCATGTAAAACAAAAAAGCTGAGGAGACTCATCAGTTATCATTTGATGATTATTAATGTACCTAAAGAGAGCTTACATCAATCTAAGTAGCTATGTGACGTCTTTCATCAGACACGTCCTTAAGTATTTAATATTTTGGTGATGCTATAAAAGCAATTTTTAAAAATTTTCAGTCTCACTATTCATTATTAGCATTTAGAAATGCAGTTAACTCTAGACTGTAAGTACTTTGGAGCAGTTTCTCTCTCTCTCTTTTTTCATTACCAGGAATTGAACTCATGACCTCACACTTGCCAGGCAGGCACTGTGCCACTGAACTACCTTCCCATCCCTGTATGTACATTGACCACTGCAATAGGCTGCATGTTGAGGCCACCACCCCTACTCAGTGCCAAAACCCTAGCCACAGTAGGGCAGTCCCAGGAGGTTGGACCTTGGGAAGATGCCTGGGACATGAGTCTGAAACCTCTTGAGTGGTATTAGGTACTTGTATAATATGACGAGCCCCCAAAGCTTAGCTGCTCCTTTGGCCATGGCAGGTTCCTGGTGAGACATCAGCCAACCGTGAGGAAGTGGCCGCCTCCTCAAGACCCAGAACCTGGCGGTGCCTTCATCTTGGACTTCTTGGCCTGCAGGAATGGCAGTAATACTTTTCTGTTGTTTATAAGCCATCTGGGCTATGGTATTTTATTATAGCAACCCAAACAGATGAAGACAGTCATATATTTTGAAATCTAAGCTTATATGTGTTATAGAATTCTTTGTAGACTTTGATTATCCCTTTCTTTTTGGGTAAAATTTGATAATTTGTACTTTTTGCATTTTTTAGTTGTATTAGTACATTTTTAGGTATGTGTAAAGATCATATTCATCGTAGGGAATTTGTACCTGTACATGACATACCTTGCTTCTTCCTTTTCCTCCCATTCCCCTCCCCTCCCTTCAGTACCCTTTCCCTGCTTGTTTACAAAAGCTTTGTTTCCATTTTTTTCTTCTATTCTCTTTTTTGTCTCCCCTCCCCGACTTTTGCACTGTCCGTTTTATCTGTGTGATCATATTTATGTGCATAAAGTTGTTTGTCATTGTTAGTGCTGTCTTACTGAGGAGTTGCTGGACACAGCCTTTGGTTTTTATTTACCTTCTCTTTTCTCTTCCCCTCCCCTCCCCTCCCTTCCCCTCCCCTCTCCTCTCCTCTCTTTTCTTTTGTCCTGTTTTCTCTCTCTTTCTCTTTCTCTCTCTCTCTCTCTCTCTCTCTCTCTCTCTCTCTCTCTCTCTCTCTTTCTCTGTCCTTTCTTTGGATTGAGAATTGCATCCAGGGTCTTTGCACTGAGCTATACCCCTTTTTCTTTTTTCTTTTGAGACAGGGACTTGCTAAGTTACTAAATCGTGCTCAGCTCCTTGTTTATCTTTTACCTGTACCAGCTAGATCCCTTGAAAATGGCATGGCTTTCTCAAACTCAAATAAAACTGACCACTAAGGCCATTTATAAATTGCAAATGAATTATTTAACTATAAATGCATCTGTATTACCACAGTTTTTTAAAAGGAGGTTTTAAAATGACCCCGAGTGGATAAAAAATGTGATATATATATATATCACTTAGCCATTAAAAATAGAGCAAAATCATGTCAGTTGCAGGAAAATGGATAGATACAAAGACCATCACATCAAGCAAGATAAGTCAGATTCAGAGAGACAAGTATCACATGCTTTTTCTAATATGTGAAATCTAGAATAAGAAAAAGAAAAAATATGAAAGTAGAAGGGAGATTTGGCAAGAAGTGAGGAATTAGAGTAAGAGGTGGGGGAGGGGGGTTGGGAACAAAGGGAACTTAAATCCTAGATTATTTTCAAATTTGTTGTGGGGGTAAAAAGCTGCCTTAATGCTTTTTTTAAAAATTTGACCCCAGGGCTGCGGATCTAGCTCAGCAGCATAAGTTCCTGCCTGATGAGTGCACGGTCCTGAGTTTGATTCCCAATATCAAAAAAAGAGAATGTGACCCCCAAATGATTTTTACTTGTGTACTTATCCTGTTGGTGTATGTAATCTGATGCCATTTATAATTCTCTTTGTCTGGTTGGCAGGAGTTATCCATTTTTAGATGGCCTTAGGAGAAGCTAAAGAGTAGCATATATTCTCCAACTCAAATTATGATTGTGCAAATAACTGAAAGTGAATGGAATAAAAGAAGAAATGTGAGAATATTACCTGAGCTAATTCAGTGCCAGTTTTCATTAAAACAAATTCAACTTGTGTACATCTGCTCCCAGCTAATAAAAAAAGCCTGTGTTGGCATGATAAATTTTGCAATAGCTTACGTACCTTAAGAAGCTGAAAGTTAATTCAAATTTATAAAAATCCTCGTCTTCTTTTGAACCATTCTAAGTCTAGCTTTTTAAAAATTTCTTCTTCAAATGAACCCAACTGTAGCAAATGGAGTCAGAAGCTCAACAAATAACATGTAAGTAAATCTAGAGGCTCTAGAGGGGCCCAAATTCCTCAGCTATGGAATTATTATTCATCTTTAGTTTGTCAGATTGTTTTTCCTTTCATTTCCTTACCATATCCCACTTTAGCAATCGCAACAGATACTTCTTTTTTCTGGCAAGATTACTTTAAATCTGGAAAATTTTCTGACTTTTGGAGTAAGAATGGGGAAGAATTAAAAACTCAGTTTTCAAAAGTTGTTGACTAAATTATTTTTTCTGTATCAAAATAATTTTAAATTGACTGCATTTTAATTATCTTTGACAATTTATTTCTGTATGTACTACCTTTGCCTGTTCCTGTGTAGGAATTAAAGTACTGCTTAATATTTTTCTGATTAAATTGAAATTTAGATTCCCCAGAAATTATTGTTTGTTTTTTCCAGCCGACAGACAATTGAGATGCAAGTATGTAACAGTTCGGAGCGCTGGAGTGGCAGCCCGTAGCTTTGCCTACAGATAAGATTCGGGAGAACCACAAAGCACCGTTGTTCAGCACAGCCAAGCTTTCCCTAAGGTTAAACCACATAACTCACTCAGAGTTTCCTTTTCTTCCTCTTCCCTCCTCTGCTGGACTGTGTTTGATTTTGCAACTGGGTCAAGGGTAGAGACAGAAGCAAGCAATGGAATGTTTTGTCAAAATGAAGCTGGTACGTTCTAAACTGAGCATATGTTTCCTTTGCTTGCTTAAAAATGAACACAGAAACATCAGAGGATAAGAAATGGTTAGGACCTAGTATCTTTTCCTTTCTATCTGAAATGTAAATTAAATTTCTTTTCTGTTCTATTAGGAACCCAATGTGAGAATAGTACTAGAAAAGAAAGCTTCTACATTATTTCGTGATCTGTTCTTATAGATCTATTATTTATCCTAGCTCTCTCTCAGCTGTGTGACCCTGAAAAACGTACTCAAGTTTTCTGTAACTCAGTTTCCACTTTGGCAAACTGAGAACAAGGGTGCTAAATTTAATTACTAAGAATTAAGAAAGTTAATGGTTTTCAAGGTTACCACTTCCCTTTTCCTCCTTTACGTCTTTTCATTCCGCATGATATTTAAATTTCATTCTTGTAGACCAATTAGGAGTTACTGTTTTCTGGCCTTGTGCTTAATCTAGCATTCTAAGATGACTTTTGAGTGAATACACATGGATTGTGCTGAGAATAAGAACCTCTGTGCTGCTCCAGCACCTGGCCTCATGTTTCTCGGTGACCTGAAGGCTTTTCCTCTGCTCACGCATTAGGCTGACAAGACCTCTCTCCTGCTTTCTCCAGTGCTACTCGAAGCCACTACTCATATTACTTACCTCTAGCTAGAGAAGCCACATCACTGTCTAAGTTTGCCATAGCACAGCATCAAACTCGATGCCTTGAACAGCGGAAATCTACTTGATTGCAGTTCTGAGGCTAGAAGCCTAAGGTCAGGCATCCGCAGGGCTGGTCTCTGCCAGGGCCTTGTCCTGGGCCAGTAGATGCTGTCTTTCATTGCATCTTGGTGTTCTCCCTTGGGGGTCTGTGTCTCAGTATCCTGTTTTTACAGGGACACAGTCCCAGGCACTTACAGTATACCCATAAGACCTCGTTTTAACCCCCTGTCTCTTCTAAGACTCTGTGTCCCACCAGTGCAGTGTACCTGTGAGGTCAGCAATGTGCACCTCTCTGGGGCCCAGAATGCACCTGCTCACCACGGAGCTCCACTCTGCACTTTCTACCAGCTGCTGCTTGGGAAACTTCTTTTTTTTTTTTTTTTTTGTCTTTTTCCTTTTTATCGGTACCAGGGATCGAACTCACGACTGCCTGCTTGCAAGGCAGGTGCTTACGCCGCTGAGCTAAACCCCCAGCCCCTTGGGAAACTTCTTACACTTTTCTCTTACCTCCCTTACTCCCCGCTTGTAAGCTATTTTCAAATTATAAAACTATCCCTCATAGACATCTTCTGCTTCTAAAATTATTGACTAAAATTAATCTCAATGCTGACATCTGTGATGTCTCCACCCTTCCTAGTATTTCTTCAAAATCCTTCTCTAGCTTCTGGGTCTACATTATTCTTATCCATGATAAACTCTGTACTGTAAATACCACCCAATAGTAATTTATCTTTTAAGTCATCTGTAATAAAAAGACTTGAATTTAACGTCACCATTTTATCTCTGTTTATAGTTCTTATTCATTGATGAATTTATCTCTCCAAAGAATACTACTAGTCAGCTCTGATAGCCTTTCTTAGAATACACATCATTCTCCCTCTAATGAATGGCTTTCCCTAAATAGTTTTTGAGTCTGGAGAAAGAATTCAATTTCTTTCCCTGAGCTTTGTGCTGGGGTTTATAGTCAGGGTAACCATCTGGTACAAAGACCATGTAGGAGAACTATTGGACACAGAGCATTTTAAGAAATGGCTTCCCAATTAACTGGATATGGCTAGGAACATGGATACTAATACCTGACTAAAAGCAATGTGAAGAGCAGTGTGTGAAGCTAGAAATACATAGGGAAGTTACTGCACTAGAGAATTAGATGAGAAAAATCAGCCAACAGAACCACCCATGGCAAACAAAAATCCAAAATCAAACCAACAACAACAAACTTGGAAAGCTACTGCTACTCATTTCAAGAGCCAGATTAAGGTAATGTGTTTGCAGCTGAGGTGTAAAAAAGGAAAACCTTTACGCAATGGCGTGACTTCTTCCATTTTAAGGCGGGTTTCTCAGTTAAACTGCTTGTGTTCAGTCATCCATACTCACGTGGAAGGACAGAAAGGAAGAGTGGTGGTGAGTGGATGAGGTAGGTGGGACTTGGGGAGACTGAAAGAAGTTTATTACGTGCACCAGAGCACAGTGGTGGGGTGGAATATTTTCTCATTCTTCTTTAGCTCAGGAGGATTAACCTGATGCAGACAGTCTCTGGTGTATCCCAAAATGACTGAAAGAGCATGAAAAGTCTCATACATAAAAATTATGAATGGGTGAAGAGTTGGAAATGCTCACTACCCTGATTTTATTATTATACATCGCACATGTGAATTACTGCTGTGCCCTATAAAGATGTATAAACATTACACCTCAATCAAAAATGTCTGAAGAAAGTATATTCTGCTGCAAGAGGCAGGGTTGTCTAGGGGTTGTCATGATCACCACAGAATGAAGCCTGGTCCATAATGGGCTCCCACATAATTATAAGATGACTATAGCAGTGATTGTCTTCATTTCCAGTTATGAAAATATCGAGTGACAGAAAGGACACTTCCTTCTTGTATCATCACCTATCCACATGTCATTGTTAGTAGTTGTATTAGATTGCTTGAGCTAACCTTTGCTGGGTAGCCCGAGTGAGACACCCACATTGTCACCCAGTTCTGAAGACTGGAATGCATATGGCCCCTTCTCCTTGTGCTGTCATGTGGTCTTTTCTCTGTGTGCAAACCCCCGGTGGCTCCTAGTGTGCCCAGATTTCTTCTTAAAAGGACAATAGTTAGATTAGATTAGAGCTCTCCCCATTCTTTTTTTTTCAGAACTGGGGGTTGAACCCAAGGCCTTTACAGTGAGCTACAAACTCCAGCTCTTTTTATTTTTTTATTTTGCAATAAGGTCTCACTAAATCACTAAATTGCCCAGCATGAGGTTGAACTTGGTGATCCTCCTGCCTCAGCCTCTTAAGTGTGTTGGGATTGCAGGCACATATCATTACACTTGGCTCAGCCTGATTTAAACTTAGTACTTTCTTTCAAGACCATATCTTCATGGTCAGCTACATGCTGAGGTAATATGAGTTAAAGCTTTAGCACAAGAACTTGGGAGGAGACATAATGCAGCTCATAACAATGGTAGGAAATCTTTAACCTCCAGCCTCCTGTCTCACTGGGGAAGACTGTGTAATGTGGCCAGGCATAGCCAATTCCTGGAGGAAGCCATAGGCTGTGATAACTGATGCGAGTCCATCAGGATTCACTGTTGGCTCTGAAATGGGGCTCCAGCCTTCCCTGTTCCATGTTTAGAAAGAGGCAGGCACCTAGTGAAAGCAGAGTTCTTGAGGACTGAAGTGATGGGGGAGGACTGTGGGGAAGACAGCCAATTTGGGGCCACAGGACACACTGCTCTGTGCTCTGGGGTGGTCTGAGCTGGTGGGAAGGGTGAGGAGCCAAGAAGACTATAAACCCACTAAACTCTGCTAATGTCTGAGAAAATGAGACCATACACTTAGGAGCCTTTCCGAACAGTAAGCTGGAGAGGGTGGTTAAGAGAGAAGCTGCAGAAGGAGGAACACAGAAACAATCAGAGATAAGAGGAAGTAGAGTTTGCAAGGGTGGCTCAAGAAACAGTTCTACAAATTTTAGCCAGACTTGATGGTGCATGCTTGTAATCCCAGCACTCAGGAGGCTGAGGTGGGAGGATCGATGAGTTTGAGGGCAGCCTGGGCTCCACAGAGAGTTCAAGACCAGCCTGAAGTGCAAAGCAAGAACCTGTCTCAAAACAAACATTCACAAATAAAAATTTGACTCTTACAGAACAAGTGTATGCCTTTGATGAGTTTTTCATCTTCTGAGAATGTTTTTCATCTTTAAAACAAGCATATGAAAATCAATTATTTCACAGATTTGGAAGACCAAATAAGACAGCTAGGTGAAAGTATTAAATTATTGTTATTAAAATATAAAACATTGTATGGACATTAGCAGTTACAACGTGATTCTAGCAGCATTTCATACTTTCAACTTGTGTGTATCTAGTACAAGTGAAGAGAGACTCTTAATAGTTCCATAAAGATTTAGTAACATTGATAGGATCTGTCATGTATCTAATTTTTACTCATGAGATCATAATTTGTTCTACAATTGTAGATTACATGTGATACCTGAATTTAAAAATGCAATGTTCCAAATACCTCTAAGCTTTAGTCTGCCTGGCATAAGCACACCCGTGGGTGATGCACAGCTGTGCCCTTGGGTGTGAGTGTACGTGCATGCCAAAAGGCAAGTGCATATGTGTGACAGCTGCACATCTGAATACAGACCTACTGGTTGACTGGTTCTCTTTCTGTCCTTGGAGAAAAGGAGTTTAAAGTCTCAACTCTTTTAAAGGCATTCGATATTTTGATTCTTCCGTTTTCTTTGAGACAGGGTCTTTGTAGTTCAGGGTGGCCTTGAACTCACTATGTAGTCCGGGTTGGTCTTGAACTCACGGCAATCCTCCTGCCTCAGCCTCCCAAGTGCTGGAAAATTGTAGGCAAGTGCCACCATACCCAGATTTAAAAAAAAATTTTTTTTAGCGGTATCAGCGATTGAACTCACAACTGTGCGCTTGCAGGGCAGGCACTTATCCCCAGCCCATACCCAGATAAAATTTTGATTCTTAAAGCAAACCTCAGTCTTTCAATTTTGAATGTACACGACTATCTCAGGCTTTTAAGTTTGAGATATACATGATTGCACCATTTCTTTAATTATAGTGAGTCTTACATGAACTGATGATGATCATTGACTCATTTTGTTCACAGCTAAAAGTGTTGACGATGATGTTGATTTTCACTCACTCTGCTGCCATATGTGACTACTGTCATTCCTATAGCTTAGCACTCTGTACTGTACAGTTATAGCTTACATTTGCGTTCCCCAGAAATCAGAACTTGAGATAAAGTGTCATTTTCAAATGCTTTATTGAGGAGTATGAGCCCAGGAAGCAAAGATGAGATGCCAAAAGGTGGAAATGCAAAACAAGTGTTTATCACCAAGTTGTTTCTGCATACGATGAGCTGCTCAGTCATCAGTATCAAATGCGTCTTAGGAATATCCAAGAGCAGGGAAATCTTTACCTGTCACTAACCAAATCGTGTGCCTCACCTTTCCAGGATGCACAGGAACAGGCAGTGTCTTTCCACAGGGTACCATCCACAGGAACACCAGCTGAAAGCGGGAGGCCCTGGGGTTGGTGTGAGCGATGCCCTGCCAGGGGTACCTCCCAAGGGGGCTAGAGAGGCAGAGTGGCTGCTGCACTCGGAGGGAACGGAAGGCGGTCAGGTGATCAAGTCTGAAAGTGTGCACACAGATATTTATGATGCTGTGTACAACAGAGAGATGTAAAATTACATATGTGAAGAATACATGTTATATGCACATACTTCTGACTAGGGCTCTAGTGTTTAAATAATATTACTGGTGTGTATTTATGGTGGAGATCTTTTATTCACATTTACGTAGAAATATGGGAATGACATTCTCCATGCTTTAATAACAGGTCTCCATGCTAACCTGCCCAGTTTAAAATATTTCTTCCAGAAATACTGTATTCAAGAGGTCTCATTTAATACTTTCTTTTTCCTTTGAAAACTCAAAAGAAACCTTAATGGTTGCAGAATAATGGCAGTTAGGGAACTGCTTTTATCTTTTAGCAGGCAATATAAAACAGGTGCTGTAAAGTCTAAAGCTTGAGTGTGAAGATAGTTGGCTAAGACCTATCACATAGTGAGGAAAGAAAGAGCACCTATGAAATTAAAAAAGCAACATTACCTTTTAGTCACTTTTGGTCACTCTCTACCTAATATTAGGGAAAGGCATTGATGCATCCCACGAGGACACTGCTTTCAGGTAGAGCGTCAGGACCACGCTGCTTGCTGCATCTGGGTTTGGATGCAATGGAAGACCAACATCCACCAATCGCCTGCCTTTGATAGAGATTTACTACTGTAATTTGAGTTACCATAGCTGTGTGTTGATTATATAACCAAGCTTTTCCAGATGAGTTTCCTTAGTAAACCTGTGATGATGAAAGTTATCTTTGTCTTTTAGGAACGACCACCTTCAGTCACACCAATGAGCTGTCGCTGAAGATTTTCTTTTGTGTGGTTTTTCTGAAGACAATCTTGGTCTGTTTGACGTTATTTTTCAGAAGTTATCTCCAAAAAGGGTAGCATCCAGTCAGGAGGACTTAGGGATACTATTACATTCTTTGAGGATCAAGGTAAGATATCTATTGGTAAAGGGGCGGGGTGAAATTTTGAACAGGGAAAAGATGCCAGTACGTTTGTGGCAGCTCACTGAGCTGCTCTGATCTGAATTACTTCTCCACGCCTTTGGCATACTGTCTACAGATGGTGTTAAACTGACACCCATCTGTTTTACTTTCTATTATAAACTGTTCTCTTAAATTATAAGTAATTTTTAGATTTTTCTTGCCCTCTCCTATAACCATATGGCATATTTCAATCAAACTTAGCTACTAAAGGACTTTTAAAGAAGGCTAACTTAATTACTATATGCATTTAATTTATTCTTATATACTTTTTAATTTTTATTTTTGGTACCGGGAATCAAACAACTTTGCGCTTTGCCAGGCAGGCACTGTGCTGCCAGGCTGTATCCACAGCTGATATGCATTTTAAATTACAAAGGAATATTAGGAGATGGGAAAAAACAAAAAACCTGTAAACCTGCAACACTAACAAAATCAGTTGTTTTTAAAAAAACTTCCCCTGTGTATAGTTTATATCTGAATGATTGCAAGCACACTGTACATGATGGTTTAGTTTTACTGTCTTTTTTTTAGCTAAGGAAATCTGTACCTGCTCTGCTAGTATAAATTAAACTTGTTAATATCTAATGAGAATATTCACCGGGACCACTCAGTAGTGTATTTATAATAGTGAGAAGTTGGGAAAAACACAGAGGTCTAAAAATAGGATACTGATAAGTAAATTATAATCACATGATGGGATAATAGCTAGCTACTGAAATACATTGGAGGAGTGTATATTTACTAGGAAGGGAAGAATCAGGCTGAGGGAGCACCGTATTCAATTTGGGTGACTGTAAGAAAACATCATCGGCCAAATAGCTTACAATTTCTTTTTCAAAGTTCTAGAAGCTGGGAGATCCAGGATCGAAGGAGTAGCGGTGCCTGATAAAGGGTCTTTTCCCTCTTTGCTGTCCATCTTTGTGTAATCTCACGCGGAATACAACCAGTATTTTCAAAAGAACACCTTTCCTGTGAGGGCACTAGTCCATTCATGAAGGCATCACCTTCTTGATCTAATGACTTCTAAAGCCTCAACCCCCGAATGCCATCTCCCTGGGGTGAGGATTAAAATATAAGAATTTTGAGGGACACAAACGGTCAATAACAAGAAATATGCATGTTGTAATTCCATTTAAAAACTTTCATGTCCATATGCACATTCCCATGTACAAAGATCAACAGTACTTGCCCCAGGTTTACTAGATTATCATGAAATCTGTTTGGATTTAGTTGAAGGTAACCGAGACTGGTACCAGAAAGAAATTTTAAAAAGGAACTACAGCCGGGTGTGGTGGCAGATGTCTGTAAGCCCAGTACTTAGGAGGCTGAGGTAGGAGGATTGCTGTGAGTTTGAGGCCAGCCTGGGCTCCAAAGTGAGTTTGAAGCTAGCCTGAGCTACATAGCGAGACCCTGTCTCAAAAAGATAAAACAAAAAACAAAACAAAACTCTAGGTGCCTATGAAATCATTGGAAGCGCTACAGAAGTAGGCTCCCGACTGCATTCCAAATGACTCCCTAACTCTGCAAGCGGCGGTGTTCTCCGTACCATCCCACCATCCCGAAGCTGCCGCCCTAGGGGCGGTCCTGGCTTGAGGACCAGGAAAATTCAACAGAGCTCTGCACCAGCAAAGGGATGGCCGCTTAGCCAGAAACCAGACGCTCTTAACTGTCGCCACTGTTGCAGAAAAACACATCCGCAGGACTGCGTTTGATAGCAACAAGAGTGAAGACAGGGTATTCTTTCCAGCTTCCAGATCTTAGCAGGCACATCCGCTGGGCGCAGGCCGAGAACTGTACCAAAGGGCTTTGTACCGCCAGCTTTGCAGAGTTTCGTCTCCCACGTGTAGGCGGGCGGCTGCAGATGCGGTGGATTGGCCTGTGAAAGAGTTTTCTGGCGCAACAGAGAACCAAAAGTAGAAAAAGAACGATGAGGGAAGGAGTAGACAACCCCATAGCGGCTGCGCTGTCTCCTTCCCCGGAATATGGGGGTATGGGACCTATGTAACCTCTGACCGGGGGTGGCGCTTAGGGCGGGCATTGATGACGTACAAGGAGCTGATTGGAGTTTTCTTCGTGCGCAAACAGGAAGGGGAGTTACAGTTAAGGCTGAGGAAGAAGCAGGAAGTGGTGAGCACCTCGCTTTGGCCTTCTCCACTTAGACCAATGCCATGACTGTACAGTTATTTATTCTAGGGCAAAACTCTTTCAGCATGGCCATCCTGGGTGCCAGTGTGGGCTCCTAACTTGTTACAGTTTCATCCTTTACACTCGGGTTGTTTTTCTCTTTGAGGTTTTCATCATCAAACACACATTGCTTTTATAATCATAACTCAGGAAAAAGGCTTTACAGTTAGGTGGTTGTCAATGTTCCTGCACAGGTTTTATGGCCCTCGTTTTTCTTTTCTTTCTTTTTTTTTTTTAATTTTATTTAAGGATAAAAAAAAAAAAAAAAAAAAAACAGAAAAAGGGTACAAGTTATACAGAATTCCAGAAAAAATAAACAGTAGGAAATCACTAGTTAATTATATATTGTCATCTTAGAAATAGTTGTTCAAGTTACAAAATTAAAGCATACAAAGGGGACTTTCAAACAGTGAGACTACAAATAGTTTTGTTCAATGATCCAACAAAACTCAGTAATACCGTTATCTATCTTATACACTTAAATGTATATGCAGTTATAACCTTTAGAGCACTTTCTTTTGTACAATGACAATTACACATTTGGGTTTTATTACTCCCACAGTTCTTATTACTTTTTCTTTGAAGAAAGTAAAATCAAATGTGACATAACAGGAGAGAGTCACTCAAATCAAAAGGATGGACATAATACATAATGTAAAAACAAAATACATGGTGATCAACAATGGTTACCATAATGTCTCTTGCTATCTTAGGCCCTCGTTTTTCATGCTACCTGCTTGACTTTCTACTAAAAAAAGAATTTCCCAGACTTCCCTCCTGCAGCATGAGAGCACATTCCATGTTTTCATATAGTTCTAAAAATATTCAGCCTTGTCTAAAATGAAAAGCAAAAGGCACATCGAATGAGGACAAAGAATGCAAATATTTAGGAAAAAGAGCAAGAGAAAAAAACCCCTCAGCTATTTTTCATTCTGATGCCACAATGACAGACAGTTGTACCCTTCTGACCGGTTTATGACACGACACATACAAATACTCCCTCCATAGCTTCTGCGTGAGGGCTGAGAAAAATGTGCTCAGAAAATGAATCTGGGGATGTCAGTCACAGAAGACTCTACCTGTCACGCGGCTGACAAGGCTGCCTATTGAAGGAGAGCAGCCTGAACACAAAAATGGATCTGTGCCCTCGGGAAGGAGCTGTGTCTCTTCCGCAGTGAGTGTCTGCGCGCTGGTCTTCATCCAGAACACCTCTCCTGACTGATTTCTCTTCTGTCTTTCTGAGATGCCTGCAGTATGCCTGCCAATGCACGTGGGGAAAAACTCAGAAATCTTATATAACGTGGCACAAAATTCAGGCAAGATCTCTTGTTCTTGGAAAATGTTGTGTTGAGACACACATAGTTAAATAATAATACAAGGCTGCATGTCTGGTATCTCAAAGACACTCCCATAATTCCAGCACTCAGAAGCCTGTCACAGAGGCCAGCCTGGACAGCAGAGGGAGACCCTGCCTCAAACACAAAGGCAAAGCACACCGACCAAGCAAACCAAAAAGAACTGCAAATAACTAAAAGCCATAGTAGATTTTTATCTAGGAAATAATTTTATGGTACATTGGTCTTATACTAACTAAAGCAATATTTTCCAAGTTTAGGAATGTATTGAAAAAAATAACCCTACAAACTACTTCAGAAAGGCTAATTTGGTAAGTTAATTGCATGACCTAGGATTCAAAGGGTTTTTTTTTGGTACTGGGAATCGAACTCAGGATCTCACACTTTACAAGCAGGTGTTGTACCGCTGAGCTATATTTGTGGCATGATTCTGAGTTTTCCATTGCTTCCAGAAATGCTTCTGATTAGCTTGGAGTTGATGACAACTGAGGCCAGAGGAAGTAAGGACCTTCGGCAATCTGCTAAGACACACACGTCACACACAAGTCTGTCAATATTAGTCACTGCAAAAACTGAAAGGACAATTTTGTTGGTGACACAGGTGAAGAGATGATGCCAGCAGTGTACTCACATCCTTGCCTGCACCTCCTCCCAGGTCCAGGTTACCCAGCGGTGTGGCCAAAGCCTTCTCCAGCTGTGATCTGATGCACCAACTATCTACCAGCTGGTGTTTGGCAGTGAGAGGACAGCAGCAGTTTCTCCTTGTGGTAGGAGCTGAGTGCACATGGTACGCCTTTTCTCTCTGCTTTCACAAAAATCTGTCTGTGTCTGTCTGTAACCATCCGTCTCCCCCAAGATTGCTGCATCATCTTGACCATCATGACCAATTCAATTTGTGTGTGTGTGTGGGTGTTTGTGTGTGTTTTGAGGTCCAGGCCTTTGCATTTGGCTACAGCCCAACCTTTTTATAAAGTTCTTAAGTTTGAAACAGGGTCTTGCTAAATTGCCCAGGCTGGGCTCAAACTTGCAATCCTCCTGCCTCAGCCACTCAGAGTGCTGGGATCATGGACGTAATTCTCCATGGCCTTGTTCTGTATCGGGAACCTCTGCAGTGAGCCTCCAGTCTCCTGCCAGGTGTGACAGGGCATGGTGAGAGGGAAAGAAAGAGCAAGAGACAAAGTGGCAGTGCATCAGGGATGGGGATCACAGGTTGTTCTTGAGGAACAAAAGCCAGGATGCAGTCAGAATCTTGGCGTTTATTGATCAAAGAGGGGATCTGAGGAGGGGATTATCAAATGACTCAAGAGGACAGAGATGATCACATGCTAAGAAGCATCTTGCCCTGGAGTGTCTATAGTCTTAGTTTTAGCCTTAGTGGGTAGAAGAGGATGGCCCATCCCTAAAGAAATAATGAGAAGTCTCCACAGGATAATATCAAGATTTCCAAGCCTATGTTTATCCCTTCTCGAAGTATGCAAAATTAGTTATTGTGAATTGGTGGTCCCCACCAATTGTAGAATTTATCTTGTACTAATCAAAACCATGAGATTGGACTCCCTGCTGATCCTTGGGTTCTTTCAGGCAGTACACAAGTGTAGACAGACATCACAGCTAATCAACCACCTATTAGAACAGAACACACAGTACTGGCTGCTGGAGTTTCCAAACAAGGATCTCTTGAACAAAGGGGTGAACAAACTCCCCAAAGTTTGAGAGCTGAGCAGAAGGGCAGAGTAGGCAGGCATCAGGGCGGCTACTGGACAGCTGCTGAAAACCCACCTTCACCCGCTGTGTGCAATGGGGACCAGGGTTCTGACTTCCTAATGGCAAACGCTTATGATTTGTGAGTTGAGGACAACCTGTTCCTTAGGCAGTATTTTGCTTCTAAGTTAGAGGAAAAGTAATCCAAAATTAGTTTTAGAAATTCATTGTAGTATCAAAGAGCATACCTGTTTTTGAAGTATTATGTGCACCCAAAGTAATATTTTAAATAGGAGACTAGTATGTTCTAGATTAAGCAGAAATAAGTATCTTTGCATAGTGTTCCAAAGCTTCCCTGTGTGCTGGAAATCACCTCGTGCACTTCTTTGCATAGTGTATTTTTCTTTCATTCTGCTTTTTTCTTGGTTTGATAATCGGAAACACCATGTCCATCACATGAGTAAAATTTGGATAAAAATACCACCCAGTTGTAAATGTACAACATTGTTAAAATGCACTCTGTGTGTTCTCATGAAAGCTATTCACCCCAAAACCTTACTCCAGCCAGCAACAGGATTCAAATGCTAATGTTAGATAAAAAAAGTTTTTTTTGGAGACAGGGTCTCACTATGTAGCCCAGGCTAGCCTTGAACTCACAGTGATCCTCCTACCTCTGTCTCCTGAGGGCTAGGATTACAGGCATGCACCACCACACCCAACCTAGAATTAGATAAAATTTAAAGAGTTGTATCATATGCCAATTTCTTAATTTTTCTTTCATGTTAAGCTTATTCTCTAATTGTTCCTTTCTTCCATTTACATTCCACTGGGCTCAAAAATTCCACTGGGCTCAAATAAGAGGAAATCAGATAACTAAAAAGAAATTAAAGAGAATGCAATAGATAAATGTTTTCTAGACGTTCAGAGAAGGCTGAGTGCACCTGCCATGTGTTTGCATCTACTAAGGAGCTGAGTGCTGAATACTGAATCCAAGAATGGTGATCGTGCTAGATGACCACACTGTAGTCCAGAGGGTTTGGTCTTTCTCAAGAAAATCTTCATCCTTCAGAAGCTCAACCTGGGATAAACAAAAAGAACTGATTCAGCAAGTGATGACAGGAGCATTCTAGATATTTCTGAGGCTCCATACCTGCTTTGCGGTGTCAGCTTCCCTGCTGTCAAGGGGCATTCCCAGGATGGCGCTCCCAGAATGCTCTGTGATCTACCTTGAGTATTAAACACTTTGGGGAAGTGAATCAGGAAAGAAAAAGCTTTGTCTCTGACTTTGGGGAGGGCATGAGGGCTGCAAGAGACAAATCCCAGAAAATTTAAGTATAATTAGAAAGTCCCAGGGATTGTGGGCAAGACCATCTGGAATAAAGTAGGGCCTGGGGAGCAAAATATTCCTATATCAGGAGAGTCCAAGTGCAGCTTATTCTTGACTACTTGGGTTTAAACTTCATCACTGCTATTTATATTTAATGTATACTTAATGTGCAACTTTAGTTAGAAAAGCTGATTATGTCTAGGAAAAATGGAATATACAGTGCCCACTTCATTAGTTCTGTGGATTAAATAAGATAATAATTAGAAAGTGATTAGCCTATCTAGAACATGATATATGCAGGCAGTGTTGTTGTCACTGCCTGCATATATCATGCTCTAGATAGGCTTTTTGTTTTTTAACATACAAGATGTGCTTTGGGAGAGACCTGTCTACTATTTGCACAGTGCTGTTGCAGCTGATAGCCCAGGGCATTAGCAGTGTTTTGTTGCTGTGGTAGAAGGGAGGGCACCTGCTTCCCTAAAAATCCCTGGTGCTGTGGGAAATTAGAGATTGGTCCAGGGATGGAAACTGGACATTCTCTGGGTAATCCTGAGGCTGTGGCCACTGCTGCAGGTGATGTACCCACTCATTTGCCTGCTATCCAGCAGCATACTGATAAGAGGGCCTCTGCAGTTCCTGCTGCTGCCCCACTCCCCACCCACTGAAGACACAGAGGAAAAAGAAGCCTGCAGCTTGCTGGTCACTCTGTGACTCATAACCTACACTCTGAAGATACTGCCCAGATGCAGTAGAACAAATAAAAGTGGCTGGTGTGAAGTTGGAAGGTCCACTTCCTAGGTTATTTTTATATGCTGGAGCACAACTTGATTGCATGTTATTGCCCATGGCTCCAAAGTCTCATGACCCCAACCCATCCACTAGGAACCCCTATGTGTCTGAGGAGAGAAGCCAGCTCTGTCTAGAACAGCTTCCTGCCATGAAAGGGTTGCACCTCATTACTTTTGTAGCCTGGGACAGGATGCACCTTGGACAGGTAACTCATGACGTCTCCCCAGGGGTGAGGGTTCTATGGCTCCCTGGGTGGTAGTCAGCTCTTCTATTTTGGATTTGTCAGTAACATGCAGGTGACAGTGGGTTTGATTGCCTGATTCTTCCTTGGCTATGAAGTCAGGGTAAGGATTCTGTTCAAATGATGGATATAGGCTATCCAGTACAGCCTTCATAAATTTGTCATCGTTTTCCTCTTTCATGTCTTGTTCCTCTTACATTGTTCTGTTTATTTTCCCCAGCTGAAGGTCCACTGGCTTCTATGAAGATTTCCAGTGTGGGGTCTCTTGGGCATTGCTGTGGCCTTTCTTCTCTCTGGGTGTTCACAGACTGTGTGGTCACTGGACAGGTCAAGATCTTTCTAATGCTACCTCAGCACTGGGCCTTTGGGGTGCTAGGGTAGCCCTTGGCCTCTGATGCTACTGCGATGCAGGTGCTACTACAGTTCACAGTCTCTCTGAGTGACCAGTGTTGCTGTCATTAATGCCATAGATAAAACATTTGATCCAGGAATTGCCTCATTTAAGAAAGGTAACTTTCCATATGCCTGTAATTTCAGCATGGGAGGTTAAAGCAGAAGGGTTATAGTGAGTCCAAGGTCAACATGGGCTACGTAGAGTTTCCACTTGTTATGGTTTGTGCCCAGTTGTCCCCTCAAACCCTCATGCAGTCTGGAAATGGTTGAGTATACGTTTTTGATTGGTTCATTGTCTAGTGCTGGGATTGGTGGTGTGAGTGCTGCACCTGCCCAGGGGCGGGTAGTCAGCATACAATATAAAGAAGGAAAGGAGGGGTGCTTTCCCCTTGTTTCCTTTTTGCCCTTGTTGCTTTCTTGTCTTCTGTGGCCTGAATGTGTTGCCCCTGTGCCAGGCCACTCTGCCTTGGAGCCAACTGAGTATGGATTGAAACCTCCATGATCTGTGAGCTAAATAAACCTTTCCTTCCTTAATTTTGGGTGTTGGATATTTTGTCCTAGCAGTGAGGAAAAAAGTAACTGAGACACTCTCCCCTCAAGCCAAAATGTCACTGAGTAATTCTAACATTTCTATTATCAGCAACTTTTTTTCTCATTGCCAGTTGCAGTTTCCTTTTATTACAAAGTAATATGTTTGCACAGCAGTATTCCTAAACCAAAGATTGGTATGCCAAGGAGGAACATGGATTGTAGCTAAGCTCTGCCAAGGGCTGTGCCAGGCATGTGTGGCATCCAGAGCAGTGTGGGGCCAATTAAGACTTCTGGCTGCAGGCAGGGATGGGAGGGGCCTCCCATACAGCCACCTGTGGCTGCGTGGAGACTCCTGACTCGGGAGCTGACTGCAGTGGCTGTGCCAGGCGCCCACCTTAGTTTTGTCCCACACTTCTGAGTAAACAGCAGTTATTGGAAGAACATGCAGGATGGTGCTGGATGTAGATTATCCCTTCTTCAGTGAGACTGGAGAGAGGGGGTCTAGTTTCCAGTAGATGCTCATTAGAATTTAGTGAACTGTGTGTTTGGAAGGGAGTAATACTTGGACAGAGGTTAGATTGCTTCTTTTTCTTGAATCCTTTTGCAAACTCTATACCAGTTAAGACAGTGTGCTCCTGGAAGAATTCTTTAAATTGGTTGTATAGTGCAATATAGTAAAAAATTACACTTGTCCCGGTCACTTCTTAGAGAACATTCAGTTCTTTATTGCATTGACTTCCCACTGTTCTGCAAATTAGTCACCTGGGAAACATGAAATGAGTAGTCCTCTGCTACTGGTCCCCTGCTAAAGGACCATTTCCAGGGGTGAAGACTGGCAATCAGTTCTTGAAAATTCTCCCAGGTAATTCTAATTGATGAATAGGATTGAGAATCATTGCTTTACTAGTGACTTAGAATAGCTTGACATGGATGGCATTATTTTGCTATGGGAGTCTTTCAGTATCAGAGTTTGTCCAAGTTGCCTAGCTTCCCTGTCACCAAATATTTAATATTTACAGTTATGATTACACCTGCATATGAATTCTGCTGAGCTAGTCCATAAATATTCCCTCTATATACCTTAGTCACTATATCTACTTACACTTTAAAAAGTAGCATCATATGCTCCAGCCACACCACTTTTTCTGTCTATGAATCACTCTGGACTTTCAGAGAAATAATCGTAGGCCTCTCCTGGGTCAGACTCTCCAAGTTTTATCTGTGTATAAAGTTAGGATGTCATAAAGTGGCATATTTATGGTAAACTTCCCTTCTGTATTAAGTTTAAAGACCAACTAATCCCCACCCTCCATAAAGATGAATGTATATGAGCAACATCAATTTGAAAATAGTGCTTTTACTGTTAGAATTCAGATATGACCTTCCTGGGACCAACTGATGACTTTCAACCAACTTTAGCAATTTCAACTCTCAGTCCCTAGCCTGCTTCTGACTCAGGAGGCTTCAGCAAAAAGAGATGGAGATCTTTGCCTTCGTAGAATTTACATACCAGTAGGGAAAAAGAGACCAGAAGCAAAATAAGTGAGCTAAAAAGTAAGATGGTGATATATATTTCAGAGGGAAAAATAAAGACAGTTGAGATGACAGAATGGTAGGAAGTTTACTGTTAAGTGTGGTTAGCAGCAAAGGATTCAGAGGTGGTATTTTGCACAGAAATGGATTGGCTGGAGAGAACATGACCGGAGAACAGGAAGGTCACTGCTTGGCGTTGCTGGTGAGGAACTGCAGCAGTTTTTGGAGTGGAAGGAAGAGAGAGAGAGAGAGAGAGAGAGAGAGAGAGAGAGAGAGAGAGAGAGAGAGAGGAGAGAGAGAAAGTTCCCTTGGTCCTGGTTGGAGCATTTCTCCCAGGAGCTCCTGTTCTGAAGCTGTATCCCCACTGGAGGGTGGGAAGAGGGTGGAAACTCAGTCTGACTGTGGTTCAGAGGTGGAGCTTTTAGGAAGTGATCAAGATTAGATAGTCATCAGGGTGCAGTGCCCATGCCTGACTCTTGCTGGCTTTATAAGAGGAGACAGGGAAGAGAACATACTTCCCGCCTCTTGTCATGTCACCCTGGCACCACCTTGAGACTTAGCCTGTGAAAAGGTCATCCCTGGACATAGCCTCTCAACATTTTACCTCTGTAACTGAATCAAAACAAACTGCTTTCCATTACAGCGTGTGGTGCTGTGTTTTTGGAATAGTGAAGTTGGAGGAACTTTTAACTTCCGTGGGTAAAGGTATAGATGAGGCGGGTAACGTCACCATCAGGGAGAGCAATGCGTGCTGTGTGGCTGTCAGATGCCTGCTTGGACTGGGTGTCTTCGTGGGTCCTCAGGAGCTGTCAGAGTTCTGCTGCTCCCAGGGACCCTTCATTCTTGCTAAGCGGCTTCTTCAATTTGCAGATGGCGGGAAATAGTGAAAAGGCAGATTCAGAGCTGGCGTCTTTTGGCATGTAAACTTCACGATGGCAAAGAGTTCTGTGTTCTTGGTCTGTTGGGTGTCCCTGGGAGTCAGATGGGTGCCTGGAGCATTACACAGCTACTGCACAGCGAGTGTTGAATGATTTCTAATCAGTCAGCATCCCTGCTGTTCTTACTGAAGAGGAGTTAACTGAGATTCATCAGCTTGCTTTGAGTTAAAAAGACTGATTTGTGGCGGTGCTATTTATTGACCTTTCTTTTGTAACCACAATGCTATTTTAAGAGTGAGGACAATTGGTCATATTACAATTGTTGCACTTAAAATCCTCTACTTGTATTAGATGCTATCTTGTTTTTTGAAGAAAGGAGAGCCTGTATTTGATTTTCCTACACATGACAATGGTATGCCTCCATAGGTAGTCTTTATAATTGACTTTATAATTGATACAGATGTTTATATACCTAGTCATATAGTAATTGTTAGTATTTCAATAAAGTTTCTCCATTAAATATCAAAAAATTATTATTGATCTGTATTTAGAATTCTTTTTGTTGACTTAAATTTTTTTATTTTAAAGATAATAAAATCCAACAAAACAAAAAAGATTAAAGCCAGTCAAAACAAAGCAGTGAAACCAGCATAGAACTTTAAAGCAGGGTGACAGGAAAACAACAATGACCACCATAGTGTAACTTGTTTATAATAGTTGTCTATTCCATCAGATATAGCAAAATCAAGCCAAAAACAGAACAGTAAAAACCAATCAAAACAAAACATTGAATAAAGAAAAACCATCAGAACAAAACAAAACAGTGAGAACAATATTGGACCTCAAAAACAAGATAGAAGGAAATCACCCATATTTGCTATATTATATACTATCATCCCAGCGGATGCTCAGACCATCAGCCCCAGGCCTGAAAAGTTAACCAAACAATACAAGCACTCAGTTACTTTTTGTCTATCAGTTATTATCAATTCAGCCTGTCCTCTGAACCAGCTGGTTGCTTGGGGAAGGGTCCTTGATTCTCAGCCTGTGTGCTGGTAGGCTCACGGGCGGCTCTAGCCAACTTTTCTCTTGCTGAGCCCTGCATAGTCTGTGTGGCTTACCAGAGAGGCTGGCTGGTTGGCTTCTTGGTGGGCTTCTCCCAGTCCCAGCATGGCTGATTCTCAGGAGGCGCTGACTGCTCTCTTCCTGGGCTGTGTATGCCTTGCTGATATCACCTTTTGATGTTAGGTGGTATCATACCAAATTACAGCAAATATTTAAATTAAATATTTAAATTAATAAAAGGCATTGTCACTTATCGCACTCAAAATTTTTCCCAGTCCTTTGAGCATGCTAAACCCATTGTTCTTGCCACATTTTAAAGTAGTTCTGGAGCTCTCTTTTGTGACTGTGTTTAGTGGTGCAGTTGAGGCTCCCTTGAGGTATTGAATCTATTAAAAAAATTTACTTTTCAGGGTCATTTGGACTTAGGGGAAACAGCCAGAAGTCATACAATGCCAGATCCAGCTGGGAATTATAGCATTGTACCTTTTCCTGTAATACACTTTTTAAATTAAAAAATTTACTGTATATTTTGATCATCTTGTATTTGCATGGCATAGTTCCTCAGTTGTCTATGTGAACCTGACCTTCTCTGTTTGAATGTCCTTTCCTTGACTACCTTATGGGGAGGAGGGAATGGAAGGGAACAGAGAAAAAAATGAGAAAAATAAAAGGATAAAATGGAAACAAAGTTTTGTAAATAGTGGAGGAGAAAGTGGAATTAAGATACATCATGTACAGTTACCAATTCTGTGTGATGAATGTGATTATTATGTATATCTAAAGTGTACCAATAAAGTTAATAAAAAACTTACAGGTTGCTCTCAAGTTTTGAATATGATAAATTATGCTACTATAAAAATGTATTAAAATTAGACATGCCTCCTCTCCCTTGGAGTTGTTATTTTTTATGTTTCTGAAGTACTAGGGCCCAAACTCAGGGCAAGTGCATACATACTGGCCAGGTGCACTGTCCCTGGGCGACACCACCAGCCCACTTTGTGTCTTCTATTTCAATGTTTCACTATGTGGGTTATGAGTTTAATTGTGACCCCCATAGTATATTGAAGTCCTAACTCCCAGTATGTTAGGATGTGAACTGACAGAGTGTTTGCAGGTGTGGTCAAGCTTTTGTTGTTGAGATGGGCCCTAGTCCAGTACAACTGGTGCCCTCTGAAATGGGAAGTGTGGACACAGAGTCACCCTGAGCAGAGAGGTTGTGAGCAGAGACACAGAGGAAGCCCCGTGAAGATGGGATGGAATGGTGTATCTCTGAGCCAACGGAGGCCAGACATAGCCAGCAAATCATAGGAAACCAGAGAAAGGCTGACTGACTTGGCAAGCGTCAGTGTTTGCAGCATCCAGCCTTCAGCGCTGTGGCTGTGTCGTGATGAACATTGTTTGAAGTTGCCCAGCTTACTGCACTGTGTCGGGGCATTCCACTTGACGTATGCCACAGGGCTTTCTGTTTCATTTCTGCCCTTTCTTACCAGTCTCGAAATTCTGTGGGGAAAGGGACATGAGTGCAGTTTGTGCCTCCAGTACTACAAACAATGCTTGATATTCAATAAATACTTGCCAAAACCAGGTAGGATAAGTTTCCATTCTTTATTACAGTTTGCCTCCTTGTGAATCCAAATGGAGTCATTCGTGAAATAAGAAAAACTTTTCAATAATATGAGTATAGTAGGAATTTTTACTTTATGATCTATGTGGTTCTTTTTCCCCAGTAGGGGGAGTCTCAAAGGTTCCTGTGCGTGTCTGGGAAGCAGGGACCCAACTGGGTACCAAGGACGCGCGCGCGCGCGCGCGCGCGCGCGCACAGACACACAGACACACAGACACACACACACACACACACACACACACACACACACACACACACACTCTCACATACACAGCCTTGCCTGTTACCTCTTGCCTGTTGTTTCTGCAACTCAGAGGCAGGCAAACTCTGGCTGATTGCTCAATTTCCTTCCCCTTGGGTGTTCCTGACCCCTGCTGTCATAATGTGGCCCCTCTGTCACTTCTGGAGCCACTCAGCCTCCCAGTTGTGAAAGCGCTTAACAAGTCTCATCACTCTGGAAAGTAAAAATAGCCGTCAGAGGTCACACAAACTTTGGCATGTATCACTGGACATGGCCAGTTAGGGTTTGAAGTTTAAAGTCCACTGTGTGTGGACCTGCCTCCAGCGTCATGCCAAATTTTCAGCTTCAGTGTTTCAGGGCAAAGCCAGGGCCATGAATTACAGTCTCAGAAGGAGAGGGTACAGACCTGGCATCCACCTTCCAATGATCACAGGAGGGACCTGCAGTCTCCTGCAAACTACTGAGCTCAGACTGTGGATTTAAAAATGGTAAAAAATAAAACCCAAAACCTTGTATCCATAGTTAATCCTTACCGTCCCCCCCACCCCCCACAACCTCATCTGGCAAACCCATGTGAGGAGAAAAATTCTATCCCTTGCTGGAGGAGACAGATGAGCAATCTACTGTGACTCACCGAGGAAACATTAAGATTAATGATTTTAGTGGAGCCATTTTGATAAGGCATGAGCATGTTATTCTAAAACAGGATAAAATCAAAGATGTGTTTGTGCATAAGGATCCCTCTAATATGTGAGTTTTGGAAAGCCCCATATTTCATGAACCATTAGCTCGAGTTTCGATGTTTATACAATCATTTCAGGGATAAGACTGTGTAGAGATTGCCACCTACTGTTTGCCTGGAAGCACATGAGTAGGATTTTCTGCTATGATCCTCTTCCCTCGATGACTGACATCTATTTTCTGTGAAGATCAGCCTTGTCTCCATCCTTTCTTCCTTTACATTTTTGTGTTTATCAGCTTTCTCTGAGCCCTGTATCGACATGGTTATTACAAGGCACTCTTCTCCTGCATTGGGAGATCCCAAACTAGTGACCTAATTTTGCTTAAACCTTCTCTAATACATTTAAATATAAAACAGCTTCAGATTTGAGAAAAACAATGCAGTATATGTAGCTGAAATTCCATTGGAAAAATATGCATGCCTCCAATACAGTTCAAAGCAGCCAAAATTACTGGCTGCTGCTAGTATTTTTTTTCTTTGACATTGGGAATCAAACTCACGACCTTGTGGTTTCCAGGTAGATGCTGTTCTCCTGTGCTATATCCCCAGAGGCTGCTAGCTTTTCGTGGTAGGTTTTGTTGAGTTTTAATTTTTTTAATTTTTAAAATTTTTTATTTTTAAGAGAATAAAACCAAGCAGAGTAAAACAGAATAAAGCCAATCAAAATAAAATAGTGAACGTGACACAGGACTTCAAAACAAGATGATAGGAAATCAACAATGGCTAGCATAATGCCTTGTGTTATCTTCAAAATAGCTGGCCATACAATCAGACCTAATGAAATCAAGTAAGACAAAACAGAATAAAATCAATCAAAACAAAACAAAGAAAATGATGCAAGACTTTAAAAAATAATAGGGAATTAATAATGGCTTCTTTTTTTAGATGTTTTCTTCCCTTTCATTTTCACAACATATATTGTACGTTTTATCTCAACTAGCTCCTTCAGTTTTTTATACTAGGGAGACGACATGATGCTCACCTATGTGAGTCTGAACCGTTTCACCCAAGAGCATGGTCACAAGTTGTATTCACTTACCTACAAGAGCTTTGGGATTATTCTTCTTTATATTGAGCAACTTTCTATTGTATAAAAGTGCTGTATTGTTCATTTTATGGTTAATGGACAAATTATCCATGCTTTTTTCTAGTTCACTGTCACATGGGACATTGTTTTCTCTCCTTTGACTTTTGATCTATGAATTTCCTTTTGAGTTAATGTGTTTCTTGTATACTGCATATTGATGGATCTTGTTTCTTGATTCACTAGGCCTGTGTTTCTTTTTATTGGTGAATCGAGACCATCTACTTAATGGTTAAGACCAGCACGTACTGGTTCATCCCTGCCATGCTTTTTTCCTGCCATTGGCTCCCTACTTTTCCCCTCCATTCTACTGTCTGCCCTGCTCAGTGACCATGGTCATCTTTATCCCTCTCTAGAATGTCCTTCAGTGCTCTTTGTAGGGTTGGTTTCAGTTGTTTTTTTTTTTTATTAGGAAAGTATCTTATTTCTCCATTAATTTTGAAAGATTTTTTTTAGGGTACATCAGTCTGGGTTGGAAGTTGTGTTTTGCCAGACTTGAAATACTTCACTCCAAGCTCCTCTTGACTTGATGGTTTATATTGAGAAGTTTGTAGTGATTCTGATGAGTTTTCCTTTATAGGTGAGCTGTTTCTTTCTCTAACAGCTCTTAATCTGTTCTTGAGCTGAATTTCTGTTATCTTGATTATTATGTGTCTGGGTGTAGATTTATTTTGCTTATGGTTAGTTGGAGTTCTATGTTCCTCATTTACCTGTATGTCAGGTCCTTTCCCTGGGCTTGGGAAATTTTCTGCTATTGTTTCTGTAAAAAGTCTCTTTATGTCATTTGTGTTGATCTGTGGTTTTTCACTGAAACCTCATCCTTGAATTATTTTTCTCTGTGTTGTCTTGTAGCTGTTGGATTGTTATTTCCTGGTTCCTTGTTATTTTTAAAGAGATCTTTCTTTTCACAATCACTAGCTGCCATCCTATCCTCAAGGTCTGAAAGTCTATCTTCAATTGTCTTCAGTTTTGCCAGCTTTTGATGAAGTTTTTAATTTCCTAGCTTTCTCTTGAGTCTGTTTCATGCATTCCAATTCTCTATATTTTCATTCAAGGTTTCCCTCATTCTCCTATGCTCCTCTCTTTTTAAAATTTGTCTTCTTTAGATGTGTTCTGGAACCCTTTTACTATATTTGTCATTTCTTCTTTTATTTGAGATATTATTTCTGATCTGACTTATTTTACAGTCTCATGAAGTAGTTTCTTTACTTCAGTTGCCATCATCCCAGAAATTTCAGGTGTGCGATGTCCACTCTCTCCCATGTCCATAGCTCCTGGACTTGTTCCATTTGGGCTAGAGGCCAGAGATTGCCTTTTGCTCCTTCATCTTGACATTTTCCTGGGTTCTTCCAGATGAGTGAGTTGTGGGGTCCCAGGCACTTCCCACATTGGCTACCCATCCACCTGGTAGAGGGATGGGTCAGGTACCTGGGTTTCTCCTAACCAGGTTTCCCAGCATGTGGTAGGGTACAGAGTGGGCTTTCCCAGACTTTCTCCAAGGTGTGGCTGGCTTGTTCTCCTGGCCCACACTGGTTACCTGCAGAACAGTCCCAATGGTGGCCTGTTTGTGTATGGAGGCTGGGCTGGCTGCCCTTGCTCAATGCTGATTACTTGTGGGAGAGTTTTGATGGCAGACTGTGTGCTTTTGTTTTTGAGACAGGGTCTACACTGGCCTTAAATTCACTGTGTAGCCCAGGCTGGCCTCAAGGAATCCTCCTGCATCAGCATCTCCACTGTTGGAATTCTGAGCATGTACCATCATGCTGGCTGCCACTAGTTTTATTTTGAATTTGAGATTCATTTCAAGACACTTACAAAACATTTACTTTATTTATGCTGTCAGTATGTTGGGACTGTCAGAACAAAATACTATCAACTAGGTGGCTTCTAATCAGCAAGCATTTATGCCTGACAGTTTTGGAGGCTGTGAGGACCAAGGTGGAAACCTGGCAGATTTGGTGTCTGGTAAGCTCTGCTGTTTCATGGTGTGATTCTCACTTTCACCTCACTGGAGGAATGAATGAAGGACCTTTCTGGGGGCTCTTTTATAATTAAAAGAATCTCCATGATCATACTTCACTGAGTTAATCTGTGATTTTCAGACAAATGACTATTACTAG